ATCTATCCTGAAGTAAAATGCTGTCAGTGATAGGATAATATCTATATGCCTACAAGGAAGACCAGCTAATAGTATTGTTATCCAACAGAAATTAAAAGGGTATTATCAGGATCCTATGAAGAATGAACTCCAAGAAACTTGAAAATCTAGAAGAAATGGACAGATTTCTAGAAACATACTATTTACCTAAACTAACACAGACTGAGGTGGAAAATTTGAACAGACCCATAACAAAAGAAGAAACTGAACAGGTGCTAAAGGGGCTGGGAGGTGGCATCTTCTGACCTCTTCTAACACAAGAGGAAGACAGAATCACCATCAGCAGCCCAAGGCCTGTTCTTATGAGGCCACACATGCTACCACAGTCCAGCCTTCTTACCAACTCTTCCTGCCGTAGCACCCACTGCCTCTCTGTTGGGTTCGATAATTCGTTGCAGTGGACACACAGAACTCACAGATTATGGGTTTATTAGGGAAGCAACAGGCTATAATTCAAGTTCAGGAACATGCTCAGTGTCTCTCAGTCAGCTGTTCTCACTCAGCAGCCAGCCATATATCTCAGTCTCTCTCAGTAGCATGTCTCTCTCAGCAGTGCACATCTCTTGCATCTCTCTATCTCTCAGCAGTATGCGTCTCTCGTGTCAGCAGCACGCCTCTCATGTCTCTCAGCAGCATGTCTCTTTCAACAGTGCATTTCTCTCAGATGGCAGTCAGACAGACCCTCTCCTTCAGTGACAGGCTGGACCCTCAGCCAGCAGTGAGAGAGATTCTTCTTCTCTGCCTCTAGGAGGGCTCACTTTAAGGCTGGCAGAGTGGCAAAACCAACCATTCCCAACACCAGAATTCCACACACCTGAGAGAGAGTGAATTTCTCAGAAACTGCTTCATGCTGCTGGCAACAGAAATACCCCAGGTGGATAACTTTAACAATCAGGAGCTACTTAGTTGCTCACGGCAAATTCCACCATGGAGTTTACAAAGACTATGGCTAGAAAAGCCATACTATGTAATTTACTACACTGCAACAGGTTATAAAAAAATTGCCAACAAAAAAAGTCCTGGTCCCGATGGTTTCACTGGAGAATTCTACCAAACGTTCAGAGAACTGACACCAAACTATTCTAGAACACAGAAAAGGATAGAATTCTCCCAAATGCATTTTATGAAGCAAGCATAACCTTGATACCGAAACCAAGCAAAGACATAACTAAAAAGGAAAACTACAGAGAAATAATGCTCACAAATATAGATGCAAAAATCTTCAAGAAAAATGTATAGACACTTCACCAAAGAGGATATTCAGGTGGCCAACAAACACAGGAAGAAATGTTCAAGATCATTAGCCATTAGAGAGATGCAAATCAAAAGTACGAGATACCATCTCTCCCTGGCTCTAATGGCAAAGTTCAACAGGATAGAAAATAACAAATGCTGGTGAGAATGTGGAGAGATTGGGACTCTCATGGCATAGTGCCAAAGGCATCTGACTGCTAATCAGAAGGTTGGTGGTTCAAACCCACCAGCCAGTCTGTGGAAGGGAGACTGGGCAATTTACTTCCATAATGATTTACTGCCTCGGAAACCCAAATGGTGTTACTATGAGTCGGAATTGACTTGATGGCAGTGAGTTTTGAGTTTATACGCTGCTGGTGGGACTGTAAAGTGATACAAACACTGTGCAAAGCAGTATGGTGATTCCTTAAAAGTTGGAATTAGAAATACCATTTGATCCAGCAATCCTATTAGTAGGTATATATCCTAAAGAAGTGAGAGCCAAGACAAGAACAGATATATGTACACCCATGTTCATTGTAGCACTATTTACAACAGCCAAAAGATGGGAAACAACCTAGGTGCCCAGCAACAAAAGAATGGATAGCCAAACTATGGCACGCAGACACAATGGAATACTATGCAACACTAAAGAATAATGTAGAATCTGCAAAACACCTCATAATGTGGATGACTTTGGAGAACATTATTATGCTGAATGAAATAAGTCAATCACAGAAGGACAACTATTGTATTAATTCATTATTGTAAAAAGTCAAGGAAAGGTTTATATATGGAAGGAAATATACTTTGTTGGTTACCAGGGTGGGAACACTGCAAAAAACAAAACAAAACACAACAAAACCAATTAAATAAAATTAAGTTATAGCTTGGGTTAAAAAGATAATCCCACAGCTCTCTCATGTTTCTTAAGGGAGGCACATGCAGAAAGTTCTACAGAAGTCTGGGGAACAGGCAAGAAAGAGCCAGAAGTAATCAGAGCAGGTGATTTGAGGTCTTTTAGATATTGAATAGGAAACTGGAAACCTAGAAAACCAATTCCACACACAATATGCCAATTCATCAGTGCCACAGCAAGTCCTGCTGGCACTGGTAGATATTCTGTGCCCCTAAACCTCAAGGGCTTTCTCTAGGGGAAGAGCACAAGTTTGCTGTTGTTGTTATGTGCCACTGAGTTGGTTCTGATTCATAGTGACCCTATGTACAACAGAATGAAATACTGCCTGGTCCTGTGCCATCCTCAAAATAGTTGCTTTGTTTGTACACATTGTAGCAGCCATTGTCAATCCATGTCATTGAGGGTCTTCCTCTTTTTCGCTGACCCTCAACTTCATCAACAGGGTTTGGTGCCTCCTGATACCTACCTGAATATTTATAAGTGCAGTGAAGTGGAGTTCAGTACCTGTCCATTGTCCTACAAAGAATTCATAACCTTCCCTTCTTGGTAGTGCACACAGAAACTGTAGGAAAGAAATACATAATGAGATAGATGAATAACTGAAGTTGTTTGCTCTATGTCCAATAACTCAAATTATTCCCTCCATTTCTTTAATGTTTGGTTTTAGAAATATTTTTTTTAAAATTGTGAAATTATTAAGTTATAATATAACAAAAACTCATATACTTCCCAACCTGCCTATGAAAGCATTAGAGATACAACTGAAGCTTCCTGTGGTGTCTGTCATTCTATTCATATTTTTATATTTTAATCTGTATGCATATATATCCATAAACAACAAACAGTACTGTTTGAATATTTAAAAACTAAGTATTAGCAAGCTGTATGCATCTTTTTGCAACTTATGCTTTCACTTCACATTATGCTTTTGAGATTTATCCATGTTGATAAATTTCATCCACTCATTCTCACTGATGTCTAGAATTCTACTGTAGAAATATACCCCAATTTATTTATCTGTTGATGTTTATCATCTTTTGAGGAACATTTGCATCTTTTCCAATTTCTAAACTTTCTCCAACTGCTGAAAGTTGGAGTTAGCTTTTGTTCCAATTATTTTAATAATTTCATATTCTATCAGCTGAGGCTAACATTGTAGCATGGCTCCAAACTAAACGTTAAGAAATGCTGTTTTATGCTTGAGATGTTGAGAACTGGGGATGAGTGGTGAAGATAATGGTGCCAGAACAAAACAAAGTATAACCAGTTCAATATACATTAGCCATGAAAGTGTTTTCTTATTGCCAAATACACAGGTTCCATTTTTATTATAATTTAAAAAATGATTTAATAAAAAGTTGTTGTTGTTAGGTGCTGTTGAGTCGTGTCCGACTCATAGCAACCCTATGCACAGCAGAACGAAACACTGCCTGGTCCTGCACCAGCTCCATGATCCCTGCTATACTTGAGCCCATTGTTGCAGCCATTGTGTCAATCCATCTCGTTGTGGGCCTTCCCCTCTTTCGTTGACCCTCCACCTTACAAAGCATGACATCCTTCTCCAGGAAATGGTCCCTTCTGACAACATAACCAAAGTATGTGAGACGAAGTCTGGCCATTCTCTCTTCCAAGGAGCACTCTGGCTGCACTTCCTCCAGGACAGATCTGCTAGTTCTTTTAGCAATCCATGGTACTTTCAGCATTCTTCACTAGCACCACACCAATTCTTCCTCGGTCTTCCTTATTCATTGTCCAGCTCTCACATGCATACATGAGGCGATTGGAAATATCATGGCTTGTGTCAGGCGCACCTTAGTCTTCAAGGAGACATCCTTGCTCCTCAGCAGTTGAAAGAGGTCCCTTGCAGCCAGCTTGCTCTGTGCTATACATTGTGTAATGTCCTGATTGCTGCTTCCATTGGCATTGATTGTAGAACCAAGCAATGTGAAGTCTTTGACAACTTCAATCTTTTCTCCATTTATCATGATGCTGCTTATAGGTCCAGTTGTAAAGATTTTTGTTTTCTTTATATTGAGATGTAATCCATAATAAAAAGTATCTTATGATATTTCTATTATCATAAGATGAGATAACCTGTGTTTATCTAATAACTAGGAGAATTTTTTTTATTGAGTGTACTTTAAGAACAATAAATTACATATATTTAAAGCATAAAATTGGAATGAGAAGTAGATGATGCACAGCTACAACTGTCAACCCCTCAGAAAGGGAACAAAATATGAGATCCTGGATAAAGTGGGAGAAAAATGTGGAACAAAACTCAAAATTATAAAAAAGACTAGGCTTACTGGTCTGATAGAAACTGGTAAACCCTTTACACTATGGCTCCTAGTGACCCTTTGGCCCTGGAACTGAACTCACTCCCATGCCTTCCAGCCAAACAATAGACATGTGTATAAGGATATTTATATCAGGTAAGTACACTTCTTAGAAAAATCAACCTTTTGGAGACAAAAAACAAAACAAAACAAAACCCACTATTGAGTCAATTTTGATTCATAGTGACTCCCACTGGGTTTCCAAGATGGCAAATTTTTATGGAGGTAGATTGCCCAGTGTGATGGTTATGTTTGTATGTCAACTTGGCTAGGCCTGGTTGAGTGGCTGAGCAGCTGGATGGAGTATTCCCCATGACGAGACTGGTAATCAACCCCATGGTGGAATCTACTGTGAGCAGCTGAGTAGCTGCCTTTGGGTATGTGATCTGCTTCCTGTATATAAGGAGTTTTGAGAATGGTCTCTAGCCTTTGGCACGCTTGGACTCTGCATGTAGCTGTGTTGTTGCTCAGCAGCCTGCTAAGCTCTGCCGACCTTGGGACTTACAATGGACTTAAGTTAATGGCCTGCTGTGCAGTTTGGTAACATCCGGACTATGTCTTCTTACCTGTCAACCTTGGGGGGTTCTCAGCCTCAGCAGCCAGCAGCTGTCTGAGTGAAGAAATGCCTCTAGCTCCAGTGGGCCGGAAGCAGGAGGCAGAGCTGGACCTCAAGGTTTAGGGGCTTTCACCCAGCCTCTAGAGCCTGGCACTTTGAACTTGGACTTAAAGCATCCAAACTGTAAGAATAAACTCCTGTTTGTTAAGGCCATCCCATTTGTGGTATATTTCTTGTCAGAGTGGCATTAGGTAACGAGAACACCCAGTCTTCCTTCTGCAGAGTGACTGGTGGGTTTGAACCACCAATCTTCTGGTTAAAAGACAAATGCCTTAGGCACTGTGCCACCAGAGCTATCTCCTCGTGCAAATATTGCCCTTCGGAAGACCAGAAGGGCAATATTTGCACAAGGAGATAGTTCTGAGGGCAGGAACGCATAGGAAAGAAGGACAGAGGGAAAGGGTAACCAGAGGGTGGAAATGGAAAGAGACTGTTACATTATGGGGATTGCAGCCAATGTTCTGAAACAAAACGTGCATGAATTGTCATATGGAAAGTGAATTTTCTCTTTAAACTTTCACCTAAATAAAAATTAAAAAGAAAAAAAAATCCTAATTAAACCACAGACTAAACTCTTCCAGGTTTTCTCTTTATTTTTCCTTAATGTAATAGCCAGAACTTGATAATGTGAGTTAGAAAAAAATAAAAATAAATGAAATATAAAATCTGATAAGTTTTGACATGTAAATTGTGAAACCATTATTGTTGTTAGGTGCTGTGGAGTTGGTCCTGACTCAGCAACCTATGCACAACAGAACAAAATATTGCCTAGTCCTATGCCATCCACACTACATCAACTAATAAACACATCTACTTTTTCCAAAAGTTTTCTTGTACTTCTTTGTAATTCATCCTTCCCTCTCCCCATCCCTCCCCAGGCAACCACTGATTTGCTTTCTATCACTATAAATCAGTCTACATTTTCTAGAATTTTATATAAATGGAATCATAGAATATATACTTTTTTTTTTTTTTTAGGTCTGGCTTCCTTAACTCAGTATTAATTACTTTGTGATTCATCCATGCTGTTATATGTATCATTGTTCATGCCTTTTTTATTGCTGAATATTATTCCACTGTGTGTGTGAATGCACATATACCATAATTTCTTTATTCATTAATCTGTGAGACACTTAGATTATTTCCAGTATTTAGTTATTACAGATAAAGCGGCTATAAACATTTGCGTATAAGTGATTGTATGGACATGTTCTCATTTCTCTTAGAAAAATACCTAGGGCAAAATGGCTGAGTAGTATGGTAGGTTGTTTTGGTCCTCTAGTGCTGCTCTAACAGAAAATATCACAAATGGGTGGTTTGAACAAACAAGGATTTATTCTTTTACTGTTTAGGAGGCTAGAAGTTTGAACAGAGTGCCAAGCTCTAGGAGCTGGGTGAAAGCCCCTCAACCTTGGGCTTCAGCTCTGCTTCTTGGTCCTGGCCCAATGAAGCTGGAGGCTTTTCTTAACTCGGGCAGCTGCTGGCTGCCGAGACTGACAAACCCAAGGTCAACAAATAAAACGACACATTCCCAAGATTACCAAATAACATAGCAGGTCACTAGTTCAAGTCCAGAGACAGTCCCAAGATCGGCAGGAATCATGGCAGGGTGCTGACTGAAGACTCAGCTATGTGCAGGGTCCAAGCATGCCAAAAAGTTGCAAAGACCATTTCCGAAGCTTCTCTTTATATACTGGAAGCAGTATATAGAGAGAACAACATCGCTAACGCAGCTACTCAGCTGCTCTAGTAGAGTCCACCATGGAGCTGATTATCAGTCTCTTCATGGGGAATAACCACATCCAGCTGCCCAGCCACTCAAAACCAGGCTCAGCCAAGTTGACACATAACCTTAACTACCACACAGGTGGTAGATACATGCTTAACTTTTAAAGAAAATGACAAATTGTTTTCTAAAGTGACTATGACATTTTACATTACCATCAGCAGTCATTGAGACTTTCAGTTGCTACACATGCTCAGGAACACTCAATATGGACAGTTTTTAAAAACCTTAGCCATGATAGTAGCAGTGTACCTCACTGCCATTGAGTCGATTCAGACTCACAGTGACCCTGTAGGACAGAGTAGAATTGACCCACAGGGTTTCTAAGGCTATACATCTTTATGGAAGCAGATTGCCACATCTTTCTCCTGTGGAGCAGCTGGTAGATCTGAATCACTGACCTTTTGGTTAGCAGCTGAGTGCTTAATCACTGTGCAACCAGGGCTCCATGGTGGCAGTGTAGGAATATCTTAAGGAGCTTGGTGGCACAAAGTGCTTGGCTGCAGCTAAAAGTTTGGCAGTTTGAACCTACCCAGCAGTTCTGCAGGAGAAAGACCTTGTAATCTCTTTCCCAAAAGATTATAGCCTAGAAAACTCTATGGAGCAGTTCTACTCTGTCACACAGCGTTCCTATGAATTGAAACTGACTTGATGATACCTCACAACAACAGCAGGGGGAATTTCAGTGTTTTTTTTTTTTTTTGGTCCACATGAACCAAACTTTATTAAAGAGAGAGGCGAGGAAAGGGGGCTCGTGAGAGAGATATGGAGAGGGGTTTTTGCACCAGAGGTCTCTCTTTAGAGTGGTATTAATTTGCATT